TCAAGACTCCACATATGGAAATGTATTTTCAAGGAAAAGAAAGTGCTAATGGCATCTGTTAATTAGGCAGATTTATCTTTTAAATTCCCTTCACTTCTGAAGCCTCTATTGCCTCTATTGCCGATACTCCTGGCTCACTAGCAGGCTCTTATCTTTCCTTTTCAAAGTTATGATAGATAGTAGCTAAAAACAACGACGAGTCACGGAATAGTCCTAGTTCTACTAATAGTACCTAAGCGCAAAATTGTATAAGCCCGTCTCATTATAAGATCGGCGCTTACACTTATAATCATCCCTCCATCCAGCTTCTTGTGCTGTACCAGCGAAGCAAAATAACCCAAGTCTCTGTGATCCAAATTGTCGCAGTACATGAAATAGTGCAGGGTGTTGTCTGTAGGCTCACAATACGTGATACCGATTTGCTTAGCTAGCATGAAGTCTAGATAATCCTCATTTGGGGTCAACCTACGTAAAATGACTCTGATTTCCAGACTGATATCTGGGTACTTTATAGAAAGAAGGTCCTACACATACTTCTGAATAACCAGGGAGACTGGATCAAAATCTAATCACTATAGGACAGGTAGACAGTACTAGCTACATCCTTTTCTTACATCACCAAGGATCTGTACGCCACATGGATTGTCACTCAAGAGCAAAGTCTTGCCGAGACTCTCTAGCCACCAGACTACATACATCTATGCCTAGAAACTTGCAAACGGCGCTCTTTATTAGTATATACACACTTGAAAGCTTACATATTTGCATTTATGCCCACGCGGAATAGCTTAATATCTGTATTTAGAAGAACTCCGGGCAGATGGTCCCGTAGTCGTAGCGTAGTAGTAAAGACTAGTGACTAGTCATCCAAAGAGATATATACAAGTATACTTGCACAAACTCGTACTGATTTAGTATATATATGTTTATGTAGTATTATAGGCATAGAGATATCGCCCAAGATTTCTTCACAGTACATTATTTGGAGGTAATTCTCACTGAAGATTGATACTTCACTCTCTCACTTGGCGATACACGTACTGAAAACAAAAATGAGTAGCCAAGATCTAATGTGAGCTCTCACTGGACATTTAACGACCAGCAATTGATGAGAATGATTACCAGGCGCACGCGTCACCTAACGCCCAACCTTCCGAGCTACAGTAATACATATCGATTTTCCATCTTATTATGCACTCATGTCATGTTTATATATAAGTATCCAGATAGAGATTTTGCACGATGTATGTTACAATGCTACAAAACTATACTACTAGTAGTAGAAATTTGTAAATGATGGACTCTGTTTGTTCTACACTTTAGTACGAATTGCATTAAGTTCGACTAGACTTCAGTGAGATTAATAAATGTTCTAAAAGAAAGATCATCTACAAGTCAAACAAATACAATGCGAATTATATTGACATAGTTACTCTACAATTTATATCTGCTTCCAAATACTGTAAAGGACGTATAAACCGTAGTACTATTCAAGGCAGGCTGGGAAATACTAAGAAGACAAACAGAGCTGTGCGCCATTGCATTATAACTGGTAAGCTTTCTCATGTCGGCACGGACTTGGAATCCTTTAAGAACATTTATAGATCTGTTATGTATGATTTAGTTGAACTTTAACACACATAAAGACTATTCAAGTATAGTTAGGTCACTCTATATCAGTTCATCATATAGAGAATTGGTGCAAGACCACTTACTATTATTAATGTGATAGTATAGTTATCAGCTAGTACTCCTTGACTAAGGATATCATCTCTGCTGGAGATACGTCACTTCGAATACCTTGGATTCTGATGAATTGACCAGGTCTCTTCGTTCCTTCCGTATATCATCAAACCACAACGGAACACTTTACGGAAAGAATATTGTGAAGAGGTTGGAACTCAATAGACGACGATGCTTACACTCTATAAAACATTTTTGGGTCGCTATGCTTCTGGGTTTTTCAAGAGCTAAATTGTCCCGTTGCTCTCACAATGCAGATCGAAGCCTCAGCAAGTCAAGCATATTAATTGCAGTACACCTTAGGTATACCTAGGTCTGGTTTCCCGTATCCGGATACTGATACGTGCTTACTACGGAAGAAGAAGAAAAAAAGGACGATGAATTACGAATCAGAGTATTATTGCCTTAGGCTACCTGTCCCGCCTCTTATGACTTATTAGGTAAGTACTACTACAGGAATGTTTTCTTTATTTTGCTTATGAACTACTATATGACATTTATCTACCGTAGGTTTTAAACTATCATATGTATTTAATACATCGCCTTTTACCAGCCTAGTACTATCTATGCATTAGTAGTCACGCTATTGACCTTGGTATATCAGGGCATAGGTAGAAGAATCATCTCCTTCTGTTTATAAGTATCACAGACCTAAAGTTAGCGGACACTATATATAGTTCTGTCCTTGAGAAGATAGGACCCGCATGTACGTTGAGACTTGAAATATGTCGTATATCTTAGAAATCTTCACGGTCTGTGAGATCCAACTCAATTTACAAAGCACAAACAAGGTTATGACAGTTTGAATGAGAAACTCCACACACAATTGCACATTGTGTATAGGTTCACGGGAAACATATGCTTGTAGGTTCCAAGGACAGACCGTGGGCACTGGACTCCATGCCTCGACAAGCTGCAATACGGAGAACTATTGTTTGGACGTGTGCTGGACCACAACGAAACGGGTACCGCGATGTGATCAACGATAGACTCGGGCACATGTTTCAATGAATCTCTATAAGTGACTGACTGACTGGTAATACGTTTACCGTGCGTGAATTGGGAAAGTCTGAAGATGGACGTCAGATTAGTACAGGGTCATCATGAGCATTCATTCCCAGTATGGAGCTGGTCGAGCCCGCAGCATGTGGGACGCATCCTGTGTGCCCAGAAGCGCCCGTGCATGTTTGAATGCATGGCGCCACCCTGGCGACGACTCGACAACCTTTCTAACATTTGTTTGAGACGGGATTCTGTTTCCAGTAGCAGGGTCTGGCCGTACTCTTTTCTTTTTAGGGACAGTTCAGGCGTTCATGGAATGATCGCAACCCCAGTGATGGTTAGGCCACCATCTTAATGATTATCCTTGTTCGTGTGTCCAGTCGCGGCTAGACAACCTCACGTTTGTTCATCATGACATACTCCAAGCCCAAAAGCATTGCGGTGGGATGGTCTTGAAGGGCGATGAGATGGGTTGGTCACTTACGGCCCAGGATCGAGGTGATAGCGCATATAGCTGTTCGATCTGCAGGGCACTGCGCACCTCGTTGGGCTCACGCGCTCACAATCTGCATGCCCATTGTGCGTCGGCATCGGAACTCTCGCCCGGGCGGACAATGAATAGTGGCAACGGCTTGTCGGCTCTTTGAGCGTACTGGTCGATGGATATCGTTATTGAGCCAAGGGCTAGCGTCCTCGTTGATCACAGTCCATGCCTTTACACTTGCAACAGCCATGATCTGGAGTGTTGAGTGAGGAGTGTCGTGGGGATTCTCTTGAGACTAGCTACAGCTAGTAATGATTACTTCCAGGTAGGGCTTTGCTGCCCGTATGACTTGACAGGGAGTGCGCAAAGCAAGACCCGGCTTAACGTGGAAGAAAGCTTGACCATGAGCCGTGATATCTATACGGAGTAGGTGAATCATTCGGTCCATGTCACTTTATCTCGCTCTTCGAACCGTGAATGGCCGTGTCGGCTTAGGGTGCTGGTCTTCAAGTCCACTTGCACCAAGTGTGAAGTGATAGAATTCCACAGATGTCCTGCTGGCGGAAACCCGAACTAAGCCTGAACACATTGAGGTTATGTACATGAAACTGCTCTCAGACTAGTCGGGGATTGTCACATCGAAGGGTCGAGAAGCTCCATCTGCGTCGGATACCTATGTAACTCATCAGTATAGTTGATGGACCATGAGCGAGGTTGTCAGTGTTGATAAAAAATGGTTGAACAATTTCGTGGACAAAAAAGCTAGTCTCCCGCAATAAATCGTTGTGGTTCATTCAGAGTAGGTTCCTCTGACAGATTGCATGCTGGCAAGATCATGTGATTACATACGTCGGCCGCGAAACGTACCCCTCGTTGACGACCCTGGGCTTCTTGATGGGCTTGCAGCTCTGCCCATTTGTCGTTACGGTAATCTGCAATGCTGAGCTGGGCAAAAGCTACGTATGTACAAAGGCCTCAGCAGTGGGGAATGTCCAACTGGTTTCCATCGTTGTGAATGATGACTTGGCGGGGACTTTGCCGGCAGGGCTGTCTGCGAGGATAGATGACAATGAGGACGACACAAGGACGACAACGTGGAGAGTAGTGTGTAAGCATTGGTGAGCAGGCAGGAAGAGGTCAGTAGTAGTCTATGTAGCACGGTGAACGTGGCTCCGTGATGATGAACCCTTCGTTAAAACAGACGCTGCCGGGCAGACGGTTATTTCCAAGATCTTGTCGTAGCCTAGAAGCACAGAAAGCATCATAAGGAGAGAGCACGGCGTTCTCGATCGATGGGAGGCAGATACGTGCTCGACAGCACGGTCACGCAATACACGAACCCGGCCCATGAAGTCCCCGAACTTGGTATACACGTCGGTGCGTGGCAGGCCTTCGATGAGCCATAAAATATTAGCGCTGGCGTCACGTACGCTCCGGAAACTATTTCAAGTACCATGGCTTCGGGCGATCAAATATGTCGAACTAGGCGGAAGAGCCCCGAGGTGTAGGTATAGATAGTCTGAACTGCCATGCTGCCATACTGCCCAAGAGTTCTGTCAACCCAACTCGCAGCTGTACATGCGGCATGAGTAGTCCTCTTTGTGTAAGTCTCTCGGAGACTGACTTCGACCGAGAAGCCATGTGGTGCTCAGATGGCTCCGGACTGACTCGCTGACATAGTCAGATGATTCCACTCTTCAAGGAGGCATGCAGATCCACACTGATTGTAAAAGACCTGTAGGTACTTAAGCGAGTTCGTTGATATCCACCAGCGGGGATAGCTCAGCTGGGAGAGCGTCAGACTGAAGACAGAACTTCGGTTCCATTATATCTGAAGGCCGGGTGTTCGAGCCACCCTCACCGCAGTTTTGCCCTCCATGAGGCTCCAGAATCATCGTTGTTGTGGTTCGTGATGACTTTTTTGGCGGAGAGGGTTGTGTGTTGAACATCCCGGGGCTGGTTATGTAAGTTGCGATGTGCCTGGCTCTATTGGACAATGTGGCAGAAAAGTGGACCCCGACACTCGAGCCACGTCAGGTGTCAGGGTTCCCTCTTGTCGAAGTCCACGGCGGACGGTCCTGAGGCAACGGCAGGTGATGTGATGAATGCATGGGGGGTGGATGTGTCCACAGAGCGGCCGGCGCTAGGAGCCGGGTTGTGAGAGCTGTGGCATCATGGTCAGCACGTGTCTGGACGGTGGGCCAAGGGTTGATCATTTTGGGCACACGAACTTTAGGCCACAATGGGCCGCATGCTGGCTGGTTGCAGGAGCGGTGAGGCCGACGCAGGAGCTGATTGGAGCCTTGAAGCCTCTGTTCGGAGCCAAGTTACTGCTGTGCTGTGTGCTGTGTGCTTTGTGCTGCTGTCGACTGGTCTACGGAGTAATGCTTCGGCGTTGCATATCAGTGAGACCCTAGAAAGGGCACGGGTGGCATTGGAAAGTGAATTGGCCGAGCTTGCTGCAGAGAACCCTGTTCGGCCCCACACAGCTGCCCCTCGCCGGTCGGCGCGGGCTATGGACCAAGCTGAGGAGCTGGCGTTTTTTCAATGACCAGCAACACGGCAAGCAATGGTCATCACCACCCATCGATGGTGTGTGTGTTGAGGGCGGACGCCGGCTTGCGAGCAGTGGCATACTGTCATGCTGGCAATCTGCTCACCCTGCACAACGACTGCAGGACTCGAGATAATCCGAGTGCCTGCACGCAATAGTAAACAAGCCAACGCAGGCCCAAACCAGTGCCCCGCGTGGCTCGTCATAGTCCCCCCGAATTTTTTTGAGCTTCCAGCCGGGATCGGCCCTTTGTGAGTCTGCGCCTGCGGCCGCCCTCTCGAGCCGGCCAGGCACTCGGGCAGCACAACGCAACCTCCACGGTTCCTTATTTAGGCCACCCAATCTTCTCCCCGCCAGATCATTCTTCTGTTTCCTTGCGCCGAACTGCAAGACACACACACACACACACACACACTGACGCATTCCCACACCACACACACCATCCTCGGCCACAGCACAGCACCGCCATCACCATGCCTGGAGTCGACCTGCAACCCGTCCGGGCGGACGACACTCGCGTCCTGGGCCAGGATCCCCTCATCCCGCCTGCCCTGCTCATGTCCGAGATCCCGCTCTCGGCCAGCTCCCTCGACACCGTCGTCAAGGGCCGCCGCGATGCCGCCGACATCATCATGGGCCGCAACGACCGCCTGCTCGTCATTGTCGGCCCCTGCTCCATCCACGACCCGGCCATGGCCATGGACTACATGAACCGCCTCAAGGCCGTCGCCGACCGCCTCGCCGACGATCTCTGCATCGTCATGCGCGCCTACCTCGAGAAGCCCCGCACCACCGTCGGCTGGAAGGGTCTCATCAACGACCCCGAGATCGACAACAGCTTCCAGATCAACAAGGGCCTGCGCATCTCCCGCCAGATGTTCGCCGACCTCACCAGCGCCGGCATGCCCATCGCCAGCGAGATGCTCGACACCATCTCCCCGCAGTTCCTCGCCGACCTCATCTCCGTCGGCGCCATCGGTGCCCGCACCACCGAGTCGCAGCTCCACCGCGAGCTCGCGTCCGGCCTGTCCTTCCCCATCGGCTTCAAGAATGGCACCGACGGCAGCCTCGGTGTCGCTATTGACGCCATTGGCGCTGCCGCCGCGCGCCACCACTTCATGGGTGTCACCAAGCAGGGCCTGGCCGCCATCACCCGCACCGCCGGCAACGAACACGGCTTCGTCATCCTCCGCGGCGGCACGCGCGGCACCAACTACGACAGCGACAGCGTCAAGGGTGCTAAGGAGGTCCTGGCCAAGAAGGGCCAGAAGATGGCAATCATGATCGACTGCTCCCACGGCAATTCAAACAAGGACCACAAGAACCAGCCCAAGGTCGCCAGCGTCGTGGCAGACCAGCTCCGCGGCGGCGAGTCGGCCATCATTGGCGTCATGATCGAGTCCAACATCAATGAGGGCAACCAGAAGGTGCCAGCCGAGGGCCGCTCAGCCCTGAAACCTGGCGTCAGCATCACGGACGCCTGCATTGACTGGGACACCACCGTAACCGTCCTTGACGACCTCGCGAGTGCTGTGCGTGCGCGGAGAGAGAAGAATGGTGCCGTCGACAGCAACGCTGCGGATCACAAGGCTACGCTCCTTGAAGAGGACTAGGTGTCCGACCGAGCCTGGCTTTAGTGAGCGCTCAAGATTGCGCTTTTGCTACAACAATTCGTCGCTCTCCTCAAAAAGTTTGTGTGTTTCGAGGATACACCTCTGCCACCCATGCATGGGGTGGTGGTCACGACAACGAGGCGTTCTAGGCTGGACATTGGGAAACGTGTGCTGTTCTCTTCTGGGATTTGGTTTGGATTTACGACGGCGAAGATATCATGCACGAGGTCTGCTGTTTAGCGCACATGCGAGATGTAGAGATAGTACAAGACTTTGCGAACAATGACTTGATTCCGCTTGCAAGCATCAGGCTCAATTGTGACCATGCTGATGAGTGAACTGCCCCCGAAGCACCGGAGAAACTCTCGCTATCTGGTGTCCGTGTCGCGCGAGCTGTTGGAATCGTGCAGTGGCGCGTATGTGCCGCGGTTCTGGTTGCCTGCGGAGGGTGAACTGTCAGCTCCAGGGCGACCAGACACACCCCCAGCTGATGCCAACTGGTTCGCCTCGCGGTGCTCCACGAGCCTCCTGACGGCGGCCCAGGCGAGGAGCCCGGTTGTGCCGAGGATGAAAGCCCAGACTATGATCTCGTCCTTGCGACTATCGCGCTGGAAACAGGTCGCAACAGTATCGGTCTCTTCGGCGCCCTTGCATATGGGGAGATTGTGCGACAGGCAGAAGGCGCGGGTGCATTGCGTGCACGAGGCCGAGGCCGAGCGCTCGGGGAGGGGGTTGGGCCTAGCCTCCCAGTGTGTGTCGCGGAGTTCCGGTGCTGGTGAAGACGACTCGGGACCGAGCCGGATGAGGGTGCTGTTCTTGAAGCAGGTACACTTGCAGAAGGTGGGAGCAGCTGTGCGAGAGGACGAGGGCAGGTCAGCAAGATGGTCGCCATCAGGAATGGGGGAAACGCCGCATGTCGCCATTACCTGCTTGTGATAGGGCTGGCCAGAGGGCCAGGAGGCCCGCGAGCAGAAGCCAGAGCCTGTGGTTGACGTGCAGCATGGCGGAAGCTGTCTCGGTGATGGCAAGGAGCAAGGCCCGAGTCGGAAGTGGCCTGGGGGTGGACGTGGACCCAAGCCAAGCTCATTAGGTCAGCGTCAGCGAGTGGCTCCCGAGGTCCCAAGTCTCGCGCGCTGGATGTCGAAAGTCACTGTTGGTGACCGGTACTTTGGTGTGGCTCGGGCTCCAGAGGACGTTACCAGGTGTGGCTGATGGAAGCATGTCTCGGCCATGTACCCGCTCTCAGCTCAACCCGACCGCAAAGCACCCCTGCTCCCAGGCCAATCCACCGAGCCTCGCCAGCGCGGGCTCCTCGCGCGTGCATCCAGGAAAAAAAGGCAGCAGCACACCAACCAATCGTGGGCCCGCGCAACCGACCACAACGACGTCCCAACCACACCGAGCTCGGCAACATCAGCGCCCAGACAGAGCTCACCATGCGACGCATATCACGTCTTCGGCAGACCGCTGGCCAATTCGGCAGCCGGCTTACGGCAACACGACCATCCACGACAGGCTCGAGGTTCATGGATTACGCCCCGCGCTCCCCACGGCGTGCAGTCTCCTGCCCCGACAAATCACAACCGGCCGGAGCCCGATTCCTGTCGACGACATCTATCAGGCGCGATGACCAGGCGTTACCAAAGAGCCTGGTACCAGAAGACGAGGCTGGTCTGGATTCTGACCTCGCCACGCAACTAGACAACACTCCCTACAGACCACCGCCTGTAGCGTCGGAAGCCGAGGACCCGGAGAGCATTTCTGATCCAACATATGTTCCTGCGACGAAGGGCGACACCCTTGACACAGTTGGTGGTCTTACCGGCTGGTGGGAGAGTTCGGCAAACTACAAAGAGAGCTTCCAGAGCTTCAAGCCGCGCCGCAAGATTTCGGAGACTGCGGCTCTTCGTCTCGCTCTCCGCCGTGCGGTCGTTGAGGCTCTCGCCCTCCGTCAGGCTGGTGCTAACAGCCTGATAAACGGCTCGTGGCCCATCGGTGGTCAGCAAGAGCTTCGTCGTTCGCTCTCGGTCGCTGTCGCGGCAGACGGAAGTTTGTCCGGTGACTTCCAGGCTGTCGTTACCGATCTGCATGCCGCAGAGGACGGGCTCGTTGTGCCACCAAGCGCCAAGTCAATGTTGCAAGCAGTCCCCGATGCGGCCGACTCTGCCTGGGAGACTCTGGTGCTTTCAGACATGGCCCTCAAGTTCGCCGTAAGTCCTCGCTCCTGCCTGGGCGCACCAATGCCACCACCTGGCCTCATGCTAACAGCTGCGATCTCGTCGACAGGTCTCCAAGCGACTCTTCCAATTAACTGGTCAGCGCATATCTGATTTCCAGCTTGGCAGCACAACAGACGTGAAGTCGATTTTGGCCACCGTGCAGAAGGCCCCCAAGGCACGAACCCTCGCTGAAGAGATTGAGATTCGCCGCCCGGAACTCTTACGCGTGCCAAATATCACATTTGCAGCCAAGCGGGTCACTCGCGGAGACAAAGACAAGTCCTTGGGTCGTTTTAAGGTCATTGAGGAGGAGTTCCGAAAACGAGACCTGCCTCTCAAGGGCCACGACTTTGCGGAGAAGAACAAGGAGCTCAAGCGACACCAAGGTGGAGCCTAGGCGACTGTGGGAAACTGCACACCCATTGGCTTCTGTGTTGCGATATCAGCTCGGGCTACTTTCGACCCGGCGTGTATCTCTC